TTGATAAAATTTTATTAAAAACTTCAAATATGATTAGTGAAATTTATTTTTTAAAAAATATTTTACTATTTTTTTTTATATTAATTTTTTTTACAATTTTCTATTTAGTCTATTTATGACCGAATAGAATTTTATTAATATAAAAAAATAGCTAATTTAAAATTAGGTGAAGAAGATTATACTGAAAATCTTTAAAATTGGTGAGTAAAATTATTTAACTAAGTTTGGTAGTTACGCTGCTCTAATATGTTAATAAATATTGAGGATATATTTTGATTTTTTTGAAAGATATTTGGTATCTATAATGTGTGGTGGCGAGTCTGGTCGACGGACAGTGATATTGAATATTGGGTGAATAAAAAACTTTTGTAACATTTTTTCAGTCTAATTATTTAATAGGTCATAATTTCAAAAAACTTCTTGCAAAATCTTTAAATGAAATTAGATTGGTAGCAAATATAATTGCTTGTAATTCTGGTGATTTCGGAATAGATATAATTGCTACTTAAACAAACAAATATTTTTAATTCAATATAAAAATATTGTAAAATCTCTTGGTCTTCAAGATTTACAGAAAATCGAATCAGCTTTTAAAAGATTTGGTAAAGAAATAGGAATTATTATTTATAATAGTGAAAAATTACAAAAACTATTAACTAAACAAGCTAAAATTTGGTAGAAAAGTTGTTGTCTTGAGATTAAAATTTTAAACAAAAAAGAAATACTTAGTTATTTTAAAAATATACAAAACAAAAAGAAACAAACAAAAATGATTGAATATATAAATCTAGAAGCTGAAGAATGTTCTATTAGTAATATTAAAATAAGGAAATTTAAAGCTGAAAAATGTATTATTTATTCTAATTCTTATTAAAATATTTAGTGAATTTCACCGAATATAATTTTATTTACATAATTAAAAATGGGCATTAAAAATTTAAAACCAAATCCTAAAGTTATTGTTACTTTTGGCTCTATTGGGGCAGGAAAAACAACTTTTTTAAATGAATTAAAAGTTTTTTTTGAAAATCAAGGACTGACAATTTATCTTCCTGAAGAAATGTCACTTCGTCTTGGACAAGATTTGAAGTATTTTTATCAAGATACTCAAAGATATGGATTTATGTTTCAAGATCTTTTAATTGATGCATATCAGAAAGAGAATGAAATAATCAGAAAAGATAAATATGATATCTATTTAATTGATAGAACTACTAAAGATACTCAATTTTTTTCTGAAATTCTTATTAATGATAAATTGAAACTTAATTATTTTAAAAAAAAATTAAATAAGGAAGAACAAATTAATGCTAAATATAATTTTTTTATCAAATATTTTCCTGAAATCTGTTATGAACGAAAAGTTAAGAGAAATAGAAAGGGTGAAAAAGTTTTATTAGAATATTTAAAAACTCTTTGTGCAGGTTATGAAAAGAAACTTCTAGATTATATTCTAAACATATTGTTTTTAATACTATTGATGCTAAAGTAGAAGAATATAATACATATTTCTAACAATTATTTAAATTCTAATCAGTTTTTTTTTTAAAACAGATTAGAAAATTAATTACATAAATTAAATTAAAAATATGTATCTTTTGTCAAGAGCTTCAACAATTACAAGAAAATTTTTTATACTTTGATGATCTTAATTATTTACTTTTTTAATGGTTTCTAAAAAAA